CCTTTTAACTAAATATTTGATTGTTTTTTGTTTTTTTTTACGTTTCACATCTATAGAACTTATGTGGTTTTTACTACATTTAGATACGACGTCCGTTGTTTCTCTGCACAAAGCTATTGGTAGTGATTCAATGATCCTTATAGTTGCTGGATTTTATGTGCTTTATCCTGGATTGCGCGTCATGATTCTTCCCTTTTTATTCATCGTCATACCGTTCTTCATCGCTGTTATCGGCAGAATAGGTAAATTCTAACAATAGCAGCTTCTAGCAGCTTCCTTATCTCTTTTTCTCTAATTGTCATAAACTGTTGATGATATCTCGCTTACCGGGCTGGTATTGATTTCCACATTGTTATTCACTAAAAGTTGTTTTCGTCTCTTCCCTCGTTGCTCGGTTTTTGTTTTCTTCCTAAACTTTTATTCCTTTTTCTGTGCTCAATTCGTATTTATATCTAGGATTATATTTATATCTATCTATCTATTCGTATCTCCAGTAACATGATTTCCTAAACTCTTACCTATTTTTCACTTTCAGACGTGCTGCCTGATCGAACGAAATGGGGGACAGGAGCCACGGGAGTACCTCCCTAGTGGATACCTTAACGGGAAAAGACCAACAAACTGCTCTTCGTTTTGCTTTCTTCAATGCACTTTTGTTTGTTCTGGTGAGTTCTCGGTTACTTTGTGATAGATGATTTTAACTGCTAGACTTTTTACTGATTATATGAGAAAGAACTTGAAAGCCTAATCTACACCTGATCAAGCGCGTTTATACTTCGGTATCCGATCGCCTGCGCCATTGCATCGCCGAGTATGAATGCGCTCTTGCATTCCGAACACTGCTGGTTTACAATGACGAAAGCTCATGCATTGTTTACAGCCTACAGGCTCTCAAACTGTTGCTGTTATAATACCCCCTGCCATCAAGCTTGTGCGCCTGACTCAACCCGTGGATCCCCCAGAGCTTACCTACTCTCCAGCGAAGTATGAACGTGCCCTTACCCAAGAGAAATTTGTTGTGAGCCATTTTGATGGGAAAATTCCTCACATTGTTCTCATTCACCCTTTTCGACCTCGAAGGACCTTTCGGTGGCTTCTGCCTATCTCACTCACAATTTTTGATAGCTCAAAGAAAACTGCATAATACCCCCTAGTCGATCCTAGTCGTTGTGGTGTGTGGTGAAAAAGGGTTCGCAGCATCGTTTACCCTTTTTCGGTCAAACGTGCATGGAAGTGTGGCTGAAGGGTAGTGGTGCCGTACTGCCGTCTCCATATTCCACTCGCGCTGCCGCACGACTGGAAACGCCCCTAACCATAGCCAAACGCGCTACTTGCATGTGCCCTCTCAATTCAGGTTGTGCTGTAGCTGAGGGCGTGTTTCGTTGCGGGTACTTGATATCGTCGCAAGCGCTCCACCTTTATGATATTGCGAGTGTGGTGACGGCACTCCTGTACTTACATCCGCTTCCTGTTAATGTTTTGAGCTGAGAAAGTCGCACTGCTGCAGCTGCGAACTCACTCGTTAGCACCAGGGATCCTCTTTCGGGGTGGAGTATAGTTTATCCTCCCGATTGAATCTCAGATAGTCTAACGCCCACTTTCAGGTGTTCGCTAAGTTCTCGGTTCACTTTTAAGTGACGGGGTCATGACCGCGGTCATAAGCTGGAGGTACATTCCCCGTAGAAGATGCCTCACTCATCTGGAGGCGAGATATACCAGCGGTTGTTACAAACACGTCATCTCTGTGAAGGACCGCTGTTTGTCTTCCAGCTGCTTTTCTGCTCTCTTGTCCTTTGCTTGTGGTCTGTAGCGGGCGCAGCAATTTCATACTTCTTTAAATACTCGTAGAATCACAGGACCTTATTCAGAGTCGTTTCACTCAGGCTTTTCTTCACTGATAGGTTAATTAACATTTAGGATTTCATATTTGGACTACAAAACCCATGAATTGTCACCCTGAGATGTGTCTTTAATCCCTTGTCATAGGCAGAGTTGGACTCCGCATTTCTTACCCTGTTCCTTTCTGGTATTCCTGAGCAATCTATTCTAGGAGACCAGCCACTAATCACAAACCGCAGCTCTTTATATTCCTCATGCAACCTTTTTCCAGACCCTGATATGTTTCGGCTGCCTATTTGCACTTTACAAAATGATGTACATGTTTCTTTCGCCGATGCTGTGGGCTGTACTTGTCGGTACCGTATTGTTCCCCTTCAAGAAGAATGTCACAAATGCAGTTCAGGGTACGTGATGTCACTTTTACTGCTACTCCTAGTCATTTTGTTCATCTACGACTGTTGTTTTGAGGCTGGCTGGATCACCTTCACGAGACCAATACACCACTGGTGGTGGGTGTAATGGCTATGCCGGTGTGCGCTCTAAAATCTTTCTCTGAGAAAGTCTACTCAACTGCAGTAAGGTTAGTTAATCGATACCTAGCCTTCCTTTCGCTTGAAGGTATCAGTTATTTGGAGTTTAGTGCGACTGGACTCCGAATTGTATGCGCCTACATCGCTTTGAAAGTGCTCACATATGAGCGCACATTTACCTATGTAATCGGATTTCTTGGAAGACTATATTGCTATATTGATGCCTTCGTTGTTTCTTCTCTGAAGCTTGGTGGTTTTGACCTGCGATGGGCCACGGATTTCGGGGCGGGCGCTTCCTGACCATCGTCTATCGGTGAAGGACGCGAGTGCAGTGTGAGCCAGAGGCGCCGTTCACAGCGAGCCACTCCCGCCAATGACGTTGGCGGTAACCGCCCGCCCCCAGTCATCGAACCCACGCCTTTGAGGTTTTTGAAAATTACCGTTCAGCTGTCTGCGAATGTATAGGAGGTCATTCACAGGTTTTCCCGCTGATGCTTCTGTACTTTGTTGGGTACACTGCATGGATATTTGTTCAACGTCCTGAAAAACTCAACAAAAAGTCGCACGAGTTCTTTCTCTCCCATTATGGTATGTTTCAGATTATTCACTAGTACCTAATTGGTTCGTAGCTCCATGTTTGTCCTTACAGGGTATACGTGCTTTCCTCTATCTCCTTGTATTTTGGCGTCTTCAAAGCAGCAGTGTTTTCTGGTTGTGCAGTTGTACTGGGTCTATTATCAGCCGGCGTATGGGCAGTGGATGATCTAGAAACGCCTGATGAAGGTAAGTTGCGACTCTTTCCAGTTGACGACATCTTTTAGTTTAGCCAATCTAGGTTTTTTATGCGGCTCTTTACAAGGCGCTTAGGCCCATTACCCATCAGCTCGTGTAACTTCCATTCTCGAAGTACTTTCTACATCCGCGGTGTCCGTATGGCTTTTGTTGGGCAGAGATTCCCTGGCGATTTCCTCGATTTCAGCTTTGAATAGATCGCCCTTATCAGGCCCTCCCAGTCCTGTTCTCCCGAGCCGTAAACTTTGGGCTACCCTCATATAAAGTGAGCGCTTTCAAAACTAGCAAAACTCAGATTTTTGAGGTGCCAAGCTTCTGCTGTAGTGTTTCATGCCAATTTCTATTGATCAGTGATCGCTAGCGTCAGTTATTCCGCATTTCTACTTCGCGAATGTCTAGAACCTGCCACTCTGGAGAATCGAGAAGAGGGAAATTATGGACATGGGGAATAGGGGGGATAGGGAGATAATTCCCAAACTGCGCCCAGCAGGAAATCGTCGAATATCCGAAGTTCCACCGAAAAACTCATCGGTGAGCGCACGCATCGCGGTTATTATCCCACAGCTATAACGCAGCGACAAGGAAACAAAAGCCATCGCTGTAGCACGGCAGCCTTGTGGCAGTGCACTTTCTGGCACTTTGGCGAAGGGAACGAATAATGGCTGATTCAGCTTTAGGACAGGGAAAGCAGCTGAAATGCATGTTCCAGGAATAGGCTGACATTTTTTTCAAGAGATGTGCTGATTACATTACAATTACCGACTGTGTTTAGCACTGCGTGCTCTGGCGCTACCGCCTTGAGGCGAACATGAGCTAGTAATGAGCTAATCTTTCCAACACAGTGGTGGGCAATGCCTTTCAGCGTCCAGTCTTACGCAGCGTCAATTCCAGTCTGTTCTCTGTAGCTAAATCTATAGAATTAAGAATTTTCCCCATTAGAATATACGAACAGGACCGTGTCTGGAACAGGGAGTCTTGCCGATGGCGAAAAATTTTGCAGACTACGACTCCCTCAAAATTCCCCACACACGTGAGACGGATAAAAACCGAGGAAATTCGTCTACCGGAACATTCATCCCCAGATACAATCCCCCTAACACCAGCGACCAAACGCGTCCCACTAGCTGTGGATTCCCAACGCACGATGTGCTGTGGTCTGATGGTGTCCGACGTGTTCTGGACAAGAGGCATCCCTTACTTGTTTCTGACTTTTTTCACTTACAGTGATGTTCTTTAGGACAAGAAGAGGAAGTAACCATTGAAAGTGAAAGCGAGACTGCGAAGTTGATTGAAAATCCTCACGAAGGCGGTGAGTGCTACTGATCTCCCTTCAACTAAATATTTGATTGTTTTTACGTTTCACATCTATAGAACTTATGTGGTTTTTACTACATTTAGATACGACGTCCGTTGTTTCTCTGCACAAAGCTATTGGTAGTGATTCAATGATCCTTATAGTTGCTGGATTATGTGCTTTATCCTGGATTGCGCGTCATGATTCTTCCCTTTTATTCATCGTCATACCGTTCTTCATCGCTGTTATCGGCAGGATAGGTAAATTCTAACAATAGCAGCTTCTAGCAGCTTCCTTATCTCTTTTTCTCTAATTGTCATAAACTCTATGCAGGTGGTCTTTATGATGCTCTTTATGATCGAATTTTCAATGTCAGCAACAGCGATAAGATTGAGTCTCTTCTTTAATACGTTACCAGTAGAATAGGCCTAGTTGCCTGGCATAATAGAAGCGTTTTTTACTACACCTTAGTTTGTTTGCAAGAATGTATCTCTAATATTCGTAGGCATTAGTTGGTTAGTAATTGCTTTGCTCAGTCAATAATACTGTAATGTTCTCAATAGTTTAGGGTCGAAGAGTGGTTTCCTCTCAGCGATCTGTGGAGCCATTGAGTCTCTATGGAGCCGCATCCGTCCTCCTATGAAGAAAATCGTCGACATCACAGTTGCCGGGCCCTTACGGAAATTCGTGAAGGTACTGTTACATGAAGTCTAATGGTTTGTGCCCCCCCCCCCTAGAGCTCAAGATATTTCGGCGCAGTTCGGCTGCTAGGGGCACCGAATAGAACTCATCCAAGCTTGTACAGGCCACCTTGGGAAGATTGTGACCGAAGTGGCTCAATCGCACCATTTTTCAGCTTCAAATGAGTTGACAGGTCTCTTTAAAATGGAACCTGTCATTCGAAATAAACTGAGCACCTCGAAGTCGAATAGCGCCAAAAATGCCTTCGATTTGAAAAAGATGGGCGGGGTATTCCGAAACTCGTGGCATTGACAGATCCCAGGAAGATATAAGTGTATGGTCTTGCCTTACCTTTTACGGGGCAGAGGCCGCCGTTTAAAGGCGACTTAGTCCTTAGGCCTGCTCACTGCGTGAAAAAGCATTTTTCTGGCAGCAAGCATGTAGTCAATTTGCTCTTTTATAGGCTATAGGCACTAAGGCGACCTGCGAGCAGTCTTACAGAAAGTGGTGGGCTTATACGCATCAGGGCAACTTTAATGTTTTGTTCAGGTACTGTTCACTTCGGATCAGATGCTAGCCTCATCACTGCATTCGAAAATGGATGTTCTATCGTCTGTGGTCGTCATGGGATCCCTGGCCTTCTTCGCTCTTTCGGCGATATTATTCGTTGGATTCCAGCTCCACAGCGAGGCGGTTGGAGAATTTTTTTCATTCTTGTAGTATTACTAGCCAAGAGTTCAAACAGTTTGTAGGCGCACCTTGTTCGGCTCTCAACAAGCATTATTAACTCTCGTCCTGATTGGCTCAGCGCTGCCAAAAATTACACGGAGGACAAACTGGAAGATCACGATATCGACATCGATGAGTATGTGCAGCAGGTCTGTCAGCTTTGTTCTTCATATATGAAGTCCTATTTGTTCCTCCAAGGGTTTTTTGTTTTCTTTTACTTTATTTATTGTCTAAATAGGGCTATGAGCAAGGTCGTGCATGGTTGGCGTCAAATGTACGTTCTCTCGCTCCACGAGACAGCGCTCGCGCAGATATGCTTGAGAAGCAAGTGATGCAGGTAAGTTATCGAAGTATTTTTAAGAAGTCAATCATTTACTTAAAGGCACAGAAATCTTTACTGATGAATCCCCCACTTTGAAGTGAATTTCGCCAAGCGAAGTGAGCTTGGGTATTCATGGATTTGTTGTTTTTTATTAGGTTGTCCGGAAAGTTCTCAGCGTTTTCGAGTGTTTCACTTTAAACGATCATAACTTTCTTAACACTCATCGGATTTAATCCAAATAAGCACCATTCGAATCAGCACACTTTTGCCAATGTGACAGCAGTCGAGAAATCCCATCAAAGAAAAAACTGGGTGGTCGAGAATTCACGAAATCCACGAAGGCTTTTTTGCCTGGTCCTGATTGATGA